GGCTTCCGAGATTAGTTGTCTCATATTGTTTCATTTGACGTGCAAATAATGTTTTTTGAGTGTTTTGAGGGCAACGGGGATTTTTCATATGTGTTAAATCTTGTTAAATGTTTTTGGCTTAAAAAGGGTTCTACCAAGGTATTTGTTACCGCTTGGTTAATTAGCTTCCGATGCAAATTTCACATTCTATTGTCTCGGCATGTTTTTGTTTCAACTAGCCATCTTCATTATTATGGATCTAGTTTTTTTTTATGAAAGATCTAGATTGTTCTTTTTTTGTTTGTGTCGTATCGTAAGTGGTGCGAAGCTCAGCTTCGCCTCTAATTAATTTTATTATTATTCTGACGGCTTCTGGAGAAATTTGATCAAAATATAGTGTTCATGCATTCTTGCGATTGAACGTGAAAAATTGAGAGATTGTTACAGATTTTGCTACAATCTAGATGAATTCAGGCACTATGGTAGTTTTAGCGTTGATCATTGCAAGCTTATTGCAACCAATTCATACAGGTAGTTATGATCGCTTTCAATGACGCTTCACAATATCAGCATTGTTTTTGAATGGTAAACTTTCTTCAGCGCTGCAAGAAGACCCTCCGGAACCTGAGGATTTGCTGCTAATCAACGGATTGAATTGCAGTATGACTTCAGCCTGGCAAAAAGCCAACGGGAATGCGTTGCACCCATTTGCTTGGAACGAGAAATAGAGTTTGACAACTCCTTTTTCGCTTCAATTTATTTGCGGACAGATCGGCAACCGTCTGCTGCAAGATTAAATAGTATGTATCATCTTTTAATAAGCCTTTTGACCGAGAAATACTGACTTACTCCTAATATAGCTCACAGCAACATGCAACAAATTGCATCATTATTAAATACTGAATGCTCATCAAATGCTGAGAAAAACTCTCCATATATTGACTTATCTATTTATTGTTCCGACCATATGGAAATTGGGAAGAGATTTGTGTTCGGGTGTTTTAGCTTTTTTTTTGTTTTACGCAAAATTAGGCACCACAAACAACGATCGGACTGGGTTGAGTGATCTATCATATTAAAGCCCTTACAGTCGTGATTCGAGCCATATTTAAAAATTTCATATGTTTTTCCCTTGTGTCGAGTAAAACCGGTTTGAAATGAACCGGTTGAAAGTTATTTTACTTTGAGTGTTTTAGCGCCTTTTTGGAATCAAAATTTTCAAAAAACTGCAAAGCTTGAAAAAAAATTTTTCTTCATTTTTCAGGCAATTTTTGAAAAAAAATTGTTTTTCCATTTGCTTATTTAACTATGGCTAGTCTAACTATCGAATATACCTAGTCTACAGTTTTTTTTGTTCTGCTCCTTTTATCACACCACGCCGAAAAAAAACCGCCAATAATTTGAAAAACTGACTTTGTTCTATTTTTTAAGATAATGGTCGGAACATTGTGTACCCTTTGCGCAGTAACCGGCTAGCCCTTGTTACTCGTGTGATTAGCAAGCGTATCAAACTGGAGTTTGGATTTTTTCGGGTTAGCAGCTTGTTTAACAGAATCACTTGTATTTTGGTTCATATGAACTTCTACGCATTTCCGGCCAATTTAACCTGGAGGTAAAAAATATGACTGGGATGGCAAAGGTCATGAGCACGAGTCTGACCAGGACCTGTTTTTTTTAATGGGAAATTTTTTTCCAATTAACAATCTGTTGTCGTCATAGTTGTCACATTTTGAAATTATCAGCTATTATCAGCCTATTGACTTAATTTTAGGTTATTTCAAGGTAAACACAACTTGAACACTCAACTCTGCACTTTTCATGTTGATTTTTTGTTTACCAATCGGTTTGTTGATTTTTTTTTGGAAAATTGTTTCCAGTTTCAATGAAATTTTTAAAGTTTTCTCAGACACTACTAATTTTCAAAAAGGGATATCAATTGGAATACCGCCTACTCCTCTGTGTGCATGTGTACTCCCCTAGTCTCTTTTTACTTGCTCCCTCTGAAAACAGCCTTCGAAAATGTCTGTGGGGGAATATTTGACCCGTATTTCTGATTTTTTTTCTCCAAAAAATGCCCCTCTCAAATCTGAGTTTTTGGTTTCAATGAATAGAACGATTTCGAAAACCTCCCTGCATGGGCTGCTACGCCCAAATTTTTCTTACACATAAAGTTCTGGCCCTTTGAATAGTCAAGTTTTTGATTTTTGACCATTTTTTAGTCTTTTCGAATATTATCGAAAATTTACCCTGCCATATTTGAGATTTTTGGTTCAATCCAAAGAACGGGCTGTGGGAAGCTCATTTGCTTTTGCGTCTCCTCGAGTTTTTTTTTTCGAGTTTTTTCAATTCATTTTCTACTCGCTAGCTCTTAATGCTAAGTTTTCGTTGTATCCCAAGTGATAAAGCTCTCCGCTTCGCTTCGTAAAAATTCGTTCGATTGTCGTACAGTTTCATTTTTAAGAGTCAATAGGCATAGCGAAGACTCTAATATAGTTCGAGATAATTTGGTCAAGCTCGGATTTGATTTTCGGCTTGACTTCCGATTTTTTTTAAAGCCCAGTTAATTTCCTATCGAACAGCAAACGTGTTAAAGTCACAAAAAACAGATTTCCTATCGATCCTGTTTTCTCCAATTGAGATAAGTTAAGGCCGTATAATTAAAGCCTTTAGGCCATATAGTTTTTCTATGAAATTCGAAATTTTTTTTTCTTCAAAAAGCAAGCCAGTATTTTTCACTGTTTACTTGCGTTAATTGACTTTTTTCCAACTTTCAGTGGCTTTGCTTGAATTACTTTATAATGGCAAGAAAAATAATCGTTTGTAATTAAAAAAAAACAGTATGGTGGTTTAAAAAATTTTGTGTCGATAGAGGGGGGATTTTTTTTGCGAAAGAGCCGAAATAGTGATTTCAAGATATCAGTTTAATCATTTTTACAATCAGGAGCTACTGGCTGGCAGCCGAAGACTTCAGACCCTGACCAGTCGCAATGGCTCGCATTGGACTTGATAAAGCTCTACAAGATCACGGGAGTTGCTATCCAGGCAGGCAACTGGCAACACGACTCGTCTTCGGGAACATTGAAGATTAAAGAATTTATTGCATTCATAAATTTGCATAATGATTTTAGGTAGTGGCTTTAGAAACACTTACTATTTATTTAGAGAGGCTTGAGTGGAGAATATATTAACATATTCCAGCCTGCATGATTGTTTTCAATCAACCAGGGCAACTGATCACTTGGTGGTGACATGAAAAGCTTGTGTAATCTCTTGAAGAGGGAGATTATTTCATTGTTCCTTCTAACCACAGAGTTCCTTGGTTTTAATATTCAGGACCAGTAACAACTAAGTTTCCGAAGGGAAGAAGCATAGTAGGATAATTTTAGTTTGTGGGTTGGCAGGACTGTCCTGCGTTCCTACCCTTTTAAACCTAGGAGAAAAAGTTTTAAATCGGGACATAGACTTTGGAAATCTAAAAAGATGTTTTATCTTAAGTATATCCTCGAAATGGCAGATTGGTGAGAAAATTTGAAAGGCTATAATAGTGTAGAGTGATGCCATTTATATTCTGCAGTGAGTCGATATGACGTGGATAAAATTGATTTCGTGCATTTTGTAAATTCCATTCGCTGACACTGTACCATTTTGATGAAGACTACGAGACTCAATGAGGACCTTGACCGGGCTGCCGGGGAGCATGTGACATTCGACCAGAATGTACAAAAATGCAATTTCGAATTCGAATTTTTATCGAACAGAAAAGAACATCTGACCTGGAAGATTAATGGTTTTAACGGATTAGCAACGTTATTTGAACGATTAGACAAACCGTGAAGGTCAGAATATTCTGGTATTTTAAATTTTTCAAATATCGAATTGTGACGTCACATTTCTGAAAAATGCTGAAACGGCCATTTTGGAGAAAAAAAACAGAAGAAAATCAGAACAACAATAGTTGCAGTGGAAACAACTACGAAGAAATAACGACAGATAAAATTGGAAATTCTCAGAAACCGCTCCTAGTTGTAACGATTGTGCCGCAACAATTGTCACCGAGCAATTCAAACAATCAAGGAAAGGTGTTGGGACGACGTGTCCAGACTTCCTAAAAGAAAAAAAGGCGTTATTTCCCCGGATTCCAGAATCCGGAAGGGTCTCGGGCCCAAAACTCAAACTGTTTTATACAAACTTTTAGCTTCCTGGTCATGTCCTGAATTGAATTTAATTAACATCCCGATTCATTTTCAGATAATGAGGAGCTAGGAGTTGAGGGAAAGGGTTGATCCATCTTCGATGGAGATGATGATTTTTATCTACTGAACGAAAACAATAGTAATATAATAAATAGTAGCAGCCCTGTTTTTAGGAGTGACCTCGTGGTCTGGGGATACTGAGACCCAGCCATGAGCTCACTATTCTTGCATATAGTTAAGTTAGTTTGGAATCGTTTTTGGCTTGACTGATTCCAGGATTGTTCCTGTTCCGCGTTATATTCAAATATCCGTCTCCGAGAGGAGATTTTGTGACCAAGTTTTGCCGATACAACCATTGGGTTGTTTCGTTCTCTCAATATCATAAAAAGAAGAAATTCATGGTAGAGTTCACTGTTGAATCAAGGTTTAGCTTTTGGTTTTTCGGCTGGATAGTGGAGTGTTTTAGGGCTGTCGTAACCAACATACCGATTTTTTCAGGTAGTTTTCATCAAGGTAACTTTTTGAGCTGTCTAACTGTGCATCTAGCGTGAGTGGGTTACATTTCTGAATTCGTTTCTGCGTTGGCTGTTTTTGATGGCCTATAGGAGAACTGTTGTGAAGACTTGGCAGTGCTTCGTCATCGCATGCTCTTTAAATTTAAAATGTGAGATCCTGGTTATCAACTCATTAGCGTAGACAAGGTCTATTGTGCTACTACCGTTATGGCAGTAACATGTCGGTTTTCAGGGTTAATTATTAGGCGAAGATTGTAAGCAAATAACAGATCGGTCAAAAATACACCCTTATTATGATGGTTAAATATACACCCTTATTAAATTGAAATCACCGAAAAGCATGTAGACGGAGTTTGTTGGTAAATTCTCGAGACAGCGTCTAGTTTTGTCGTCGTTAACCTCAATATCGGCGTGTGGTCAAAAATATGCTGCTATGTTAAGAAGTTGAAACTGACCAAACTGTAACCTTCGCCCGGAAGATACATATCGACGGAAAATAAAACTTAGTCCTAAGACGACTGGCTAACGTCTAAACAGAGCTTTACATGTTTTTAACCGTCTCTACCAAGCCAGTACTTTCGGTGGTCTTTCTAACATCGGGTCGACAAAAAACTTTACTGCTTTCGCCTTCGGTCAAAACACTCAAATTAACTTAATTACATGCAGAAATAGTGAGCTCATGGCTAGGTCGCAGTATCCCCAGACCACGAGATCACTCCTAAAATCAGGGCTACTACTTTTTATTGAATTAATGTTTTTTTTTCATTAGATAAAAATCATCATCTCCATCTAAGATGGATCAACCCTTTCCCCCAACTCCTAGCTTCTCATCTTAGTAGAATGAATTCAGATGTTAATTAAATTTAACTCAGGACATAATAGGGAAGCTAAAAATTTATATAAGTTAATAAAAGTTCCAGTCCCGAGACCCCTCCGGATTCCTGAATCCGGGGAAATAAGACTCTTATCTTCCTTCCGGAAGGCTGTCTTCCACCCTTCACCGTTGTTCGCAATGGCCTTGCAACTATTGTAGCGACACAATAGTTGCAATTCGGAACGGTCTCTGCTACTTCTGCAATTCGTTGTTGTTTTTCAACCACAATCTTCGTTGTTTTCGCTATCGCAACTAATTTTGTTGTGTCTTTCTTCCGGTTTTCTATCAAAATGGCCGTTTCTGACGTTTCTCAGAAATATGACGTCATACTTCGAAATTTTAAAAAAATTTGAAACCCCAGAATATTCTAGCCTTCACCGTTTGGCCAATCGTTTCAATAACGCTCTTATTCCTTCAAAATCACCAATTCGGAAGGTTCGCTGTTAAAAACTCGAATATGCTGAATCTGCATTTTGGTCCATTCTGGTCGAATGTCACATACTCCCCGGACAGTCCGGTCAATGTCCTCATTGAATCTCGCAATGTTCGTAAAAAAGGTACAGTGTCATCGAACAGAATTTACAAAATGCACGAAACTACTTTTATCCGCGACATATCGACTCACTGCAGAATTTAAATGGCATCATACTACATCACTATAGCCTTCAAATTCTTTCATTAATCTGCACATTGAGGATATGACCTAAGATAAAAACATATTTTCTGATTTCCAATGTCAATGTCCTGATTAAAAACCTTTTTCTCCTAGATTTAAAAGGTGTTGGTTTGCAGGACAGTCCTGCCAACCAACAAGCTAAAATTATCCTACTATGCTTCCTCCCTTCGGAAATCTCGCTTGTTATTGTCCTGAATATTAAAACTAAGAAACTCTGTGGTTAGAAAGAACAATGAAACAATCTCCCTCTTCGAGAGATTACCCAAGCCTTTCATGTCACCACAAAGTGATCAATTCTCCTAGTTGATGAAAAACAGTTATGCAGGCTGGAATATTTAAATATACTCTTTCACTCAAGCCTTTCTAAATAAATAGTAGTTAAGTGTCTCTAAAGCCACTTAACTAAAATCAACATGCAAATCTATAAATGCAACAAATTCAAAACTCAACTAAATGTTTCAGTTTTCAATTACAATTTGGTTGCTTAGTTTCTCACTTGAGTTTTTTCACACACATAAAACAATTCTGAGTTTTAACTTTTTCTTCATCACTCCTTTGTTTTCTTCTTTTTTCGTCGTTTAGAATTTCTAAAACTTCTAAATTCTTCTAATTTTGTCTCTTTTTGCCTCTTGTTCTTTCGACCGTTTGTCAATGTTCCATCTCTTCCTCCTGTGACACTGACTCTGCACTCTCAGTTTCTGTGTCTTGCAACACATCGTTAGCTATTCTGACGCTGTTGGAAGCAGTCCTCCAACACTTCTGCTCTTCTACCCTCTGTTTGCAACAAGGTAGGGGATCCACGTTAGATTCTCTGTTCCTGCAGAAGCTGTTGTGGAGACACAACGTCACATTTCTCTCCAGATCTTCCTTCAACATCTCTGTCTTCTCCTTTCCACTACGTTCACTTGTCCTGGACATTCTCTTTACAGCGGTGGTCACTATATTCCGATGAGTCACGAAAGCTCGCTTGAAAGCTCCTGCTCCAATGTCCAGCTGATATTCACTGTAGACTCTGCCGTGCTTCGACATATGCTTCTTAGCATATTCGTACAACCATGCAGTCATGTTAGCTCTGAACCATGGCATCAATCGTCTTCTTGCCCATATCTTCTTCTTTTCCATCGGAATGTTTAGAATCTTGCACATTGTCTCAAAAAGATCTAAGTCTTTCAGACAATCCAATTTCCGCAACTGTTCTCTCGTTGGCGCCTCTTCTCTATTTTTTTCTTTCACTTGAGCTTCCAGCCATCGTATTGCCATCATAACTCCCACTATCACTATTGTTATGGGCTGTGATGAGTCTGGTAAACCCATGGAGAGCAGCTCTCCAGAGTCCCAGATCAACACCAGATTACTACGCTTGGGATACCACCAGGTCTGCACCAGGCAGTGGCAGGGAAAACTCGTTATGTGTCAACATGATGCCCCTCCAATTACGTTTTCCCGAAGCTTCCAGTAATGGTTCCACTTCCATCATCACTCGGTGGACTTCATCATTCTCGTCTACTGTATTGTAATCTGTAACAGTTGATCCTCTCTGTTTCTGTCTCTCGAAGTCACTGAAGTTCCCACTCACGTATCCCATGAACTTCTTTCCCAGTATCAATTCCAACTCCTCCGTGGTTCTCTCTGGAACTGCTGAGAACATCTTACATAGCAACTCGTAAGATTTTTTGGACATTCTCGTTAGTCTCACACACTTTGGCACGGAGAAGGCTTGATCCACGATCGTTCTCGTACTCTTTACATCCACAGCTACGAAATGCACCGGGTATCTGCTCTTGCACATCGGAGCCAATGTCGAGTCCACCAAATATCGTGCTCCTGATGGTCTACAATAAGTCTCACTGTGTCTGATGTTCATTTCCGCCTCGATCGCTTCCCTCCATTTTCCTAGGTGTTTCTGCTCGTTTTGTAGAACTCCTGGGAATACTTCTACACTGATGGCAGTGACCATCTCATGTCTCTGTTCTAGATTCAATAGTGACTCTGAAGAACTAAACATGCTGTAGAACTCTAGTGCAGTCACTAGATTCACCTCGGTTCCTCCATGACAATGCGCTATCAGTTCCGTTTCGTTCTTGCTTTCATCACGACATTCCCAAACAATATCGTCAATTGCTTGTTGTGTTTTTCTAGGGTCTTCACACAGTCCAGACTTCCACAAACGTGACCCTCCAGTCCACAGACTTCCGCCAGACAGCTACCAGGTTTGACCCAGTCTTCTGGTCCCCAGTCAGGCAACTCCACTTTATCTTCACCGTTGCTCCTAGAGGCCGTTATCATCACATTATATATGATATTAAGGTCACGCAGGTTGCAGTCTGCATTCAGCTCCCTCTGCACGTCTTGTGTTGCCCGTAATGTCGAGTCAGCGTTGGGACTAGGACAACATGATGGCCTCATCAATTCCCACACTGCCATCAAGCTCGTTCTTAGTAATTCATCTGAGAATCCCAACCCAAACTCCACTCTTTTGTCGGATTTTGGTACGGAAGGTGCAGTCACCTCTTCTTCAAGACCAGTCCCAATTTGGTCTGAGGATTGGTAGCGCTCTTAATCGTTATAATTCTCGACGTCCAGAATCTTAGCAACACTGCCTGCTCGTAATCGAAGAAGCAATCGCGTATGTCTTCACTCAGGGAAGGGTTGTACGCTATCCCTATGATTCCGGATACGTAGCTGTACGACTTTTTCTTGATCGGTCCACAGTATTCACTGGATTTCGGCAGTGCCGCCATAGATTCTTTAGTGAGTCTCAGCTCCTTGCTTAAGAATCTCCTGATTTCGTCTATCTTCCTCATGGGCTCTAACTCCTCGGGTTCCTTCATATTCACCCTCATCGGTTTGCTTTGCTGCATATCCAGCAGTGCTAACAAGAGTAAGGCTTTCGCTCGCTCATCGCCTTCCCTCAGCATCTTAACGCAAGTGTTCAATGCAGGTACTGAAATCTGCTCTATCAGGAATCGAATGAAACAGAGAGCGTCTCTCGGCTTCGCACACGCTACTGCTGCTCCCTCTTGGACTACCAGATCCCTCAGGTTCGTCATAAGGAAAACCTTCTCTTCTTTTGACCTCTTCCTTTCTTCTGAATCATATTCTTCGCGAGTCAGTCCCATCATGCACCAGGCGAACCTCAGTTGTAACTCTGTTCTTACGTAAGGTACTGCCATGAGAGCGTGTATTCTTGGCGCATTCCTCATCTCTTCTTCGAAGTACCGTAACACCACTGCTTTCCATGGAAGGCTCACCAACTGCTCCATCGTTTCTGCCTGTTTCTCAGACGATGCTAGAGTCCCGTACGCCTTCTGCTTGAGGGTGGTGCCTTGCAAAATTGTCTCCAGATAACCCTCCATGCCACTCTTGTCTTCCAGAGCTATCACATACCCTCTAGCCGAGTTTCGATACTCCAACATCTCCAAGTATCCACCGGCGGGTTCATCTATCGACACAGCCTCCGATACTGTCAGTCGGTTATACTCTACTGGTACTAGTTGTCCTGCGACATTTCCCTTTCCGTGATTCATGGGAGATGGCTTAAAGTCTTTCATTGTGCTCTCTCCACATTGGCTGAGTATTTCCATGTCTAAGGTTGCTCCAGTTAGAGTGCGGTAACTCCTTTTGGTTTTATAACCTGTTGACTTTATTCCCGCCATGAGAATGGGTGGCACCATCGCTATATCAGTCAACATTTTGTCTGTGCCAGGCAATTGATAATCACCTTGTCCCAAATCCATGACCTCTTCGACTCGTTTCCTTTTTGCTGAATTGAC